CATTCAGTTTTCTCTTGTACCATTCCCTGTGGGCGTCTGTCCTTGTGTCGAAGGATGCTTGCAACATGAATCGGGCCAAGGCTGTGGAAGATGCCACATCCTCCTGTACAGCATCAGGGTTTGGCACTCTGCCTTTTTGACTTTGCACATGTGACCCCCAGTTCGCAGCCAAGGGGGTCTTCCTGAGAAGATCACTGAAGAAGTTGTACCATTTGTGGTACTGTCGACGTTCTGAGCCGTTCCTGTTGCTCTCATCGAAAAACAAGTCCAGACGCCACCACAGTTCGCCCTGTGAGAGCCAAGCTGCTCTCGCTGGCAGTTTTGCATCATTTTCCAAGTTAAGCAATTGCCCATCACGGAGCAATAGCATGACCCACAGTTTCAGAAGCATCACCGAAATCCTCCAAAGCAACACTGTACTTGAATCTTACTAAATACTGACACACACCTGCACTTGTGTAACAAGCCCCAGTTCACAACACATTGAATTCTTAAGAAATCAACCCAAAGACTCACGATGACATGTCAGCAGCCACATCATGTCACTCGAACTTGAGACAGGAAACTATCGCAGATGGCACTGAACTGACAACCACATGGAATGATTAACACAGGCCACCGATGCCTGCAACTGGAGGTCGAGACACCAGCCAGGTCATTGCCACCTGCACGACAGCAGCATACGAACTGAGACAATACCGACAAACACATCTGATCACGGAGTGACTGAAGCTCTCTACATTTTCATTGCACAGCTGCACCAGCTCGGATCACTCAGATCCTTCCACGAGGCGGCGAGGATTTTCCTCGGCACCTCGTGGAGGGAACGGACGGGGTCCAGGGCTCAACCCAGTCCCAACATTGGAAAGCAGAATACCAACAAGACAGAATGTCGAAAGATGAAGCAAGCTCATTTAACTCTAGAGAATTATGGCACTCTGCCTTATTGGCACTCTGCCTTCAGCTACAATTCATGTTGGGACATCCCTCATCATATGAAAGGCCACAGCCTTGCCGAACTCCGGGGTGTACTCCTCTGACACCTGAAGATCTTCAGGACGACCGGTGAACTTCTCACCATCTCGATCAACGCAACCAGCACTTCCTCTGACATGGGAAGGATAGCTGCGCCGCATACCATTGATGTGCTGACAGTTGCTCCACAGTTGAAGCGGTTTCAGGATGGGCTGGCCGAAGGCACCACCATAGGTTTTGACCTTCATAGCCTGGATCATTCCCATGACACGATCGACGAGTGGAATGTCGAACAGCATGCTGGAGCAAGGCTGCTCGATCACAAACCGGTTGTCATTCAAAGCCGCGAGCAAAGTCAACAGCAGCGTCACATACATGAAACGATTGCCTTCTTGGCATGCCAGCGATCGCTCAGGTTCTCCCATCCAGTCATTGGCAATGGACCTTCCAGTACTGTATTTACAGAGTTGGACGAAGGAAGAGCATGGAGTTCCAAACCACACCAGGCCGTGTTTGTGTGTTTGACACACAGCATTGACAGCCAGGCGAAGTCCTCTCACAGAAAGAATATCATGATCTGTGCCGTACCTGATGTCCAAGGCTAGCCCCTGCCAGCCAGCACGGAGCATCTCCCGACTGAGGTTGCCCTGCCCTGCAAAGATCTCCAGGAAGTGGAACCTGGCACTCTGCCTTATGTTCCGCTTCCAATGACAAAAGTTGATGAGGAATCTCATCTGTTTCTTCCATGGCCACGAAGTCATGATGGGAAAAGTTTCTGATAACATTTGTTGCCAGATTGATATCATCCAGGAAAACCCACTGGCTTCAAGAATCACATCATAGTTGCACTCAGGCAGAACTTCATAAGGACCTTCATTATGGAACTCCAGAAGCGACGGGTCAACTTCGCAAAGGCGCAGAACATCCTGTCCTCTCGAAATGGCCAAGAATCTCTTCTCCAGTGCGATGTTTGCATCAAACTGCCGCCGAATGTCTGCTAACAGTCTTCTTCTTGTTTCAGCCGGGTCATCTGCTGCTGCAGACATGGCACTCCGAATTGCACTGTGCATGGCACTCTGTCCTATCCGCAAGAAAGTGTAACACCTTAACCTCAAGGGTGTTCGAATTAACAACGTAATTGTGAACCAGCACATTCAGCAGTTGACACACTTGTGAGTCGATTGATCCATCACAACACAAGGATGAGACAGACATGATGCAATCACTCGTTGAAATTCACATGTGGCATAGTTGTTGCAGACCATGACTTCATGCTCAAGCAATCAAATACAGCACTGCCAGACCCTCACTCGATTCTCGTTTTTCTGGTACCGCACACAGCAGTCCATCCATCGTCCTCGACGATTCCGAGGCCACCGAGGTGGCAGACACAAGCATTCTTGGCACTCTGCCTTCTGTAAAGTTTCCAAGCTGTCATTGAAAGACATCAACCTTAGGGCCACCAGAAATCTTCAGGTGGCTCACAGTCGGAGGGTGGTTCTGAGGAGATATACCCCGATCGACGACCACGAATGCGAAATCCTCTGCCTTCACCTGCAGAATCATACTGATTTGAGTCTGGGGACGACTGAGCTTCGTCCAGTGCGTCCATCTCCTCATTGTCTGACTCCTCACCTTCCTCCACATCTGAGGGGGCTCCATCATCCGCTGAGCCGCGCTGACTCCAGTCCGGGTCTTCTTCTGAGATGTGCCCATAATCAATACCCAAACGACCCCGCCCTCCAAGCTCACCAAGACGAACATCTAGAACACCTTCCTCAATCACATCTGAGTCTGAGGCGTGAATCTCACCTTCGGCACGAGCTGGCCCAGTCAACCAGGCATCCGGGCGAGATTCCAAACGAAAAAAAATTTGACCACGAACTCCACTTTCGAACTCATCTGGCACTCTGCCTTCCGGCACTCTGCCTTCTGGCACTCTGCCTTCAGTAGCTCCACTGTTGGCATTATTGTTAGGGCCAGGATAGCCATTTTCAGGCATCGGCCTTGGCGGCACTATTGGTGGCGGCGGGTTGTCTGGAGCATTGAAACACATGGCACAAATTCGCCGTCCCAACTGCCGACGTTGCATCTCTTCAGGGGTCAAGTTCTCAAGGGTGACCAGAACAATGCGGCCCTCCCTAACAGTAACCACATCCGGCTCGAAGTTGATCATGATCGGGGTCTCCATAATGTCCAACGCTTCTGCCACAGCTTGGGCAATCTCAAACTCATGTCGCGCAGGGGCGGGAGGTCTTGGGCCAGGTGGGTAAGGTGGCCGATTCACAGGCGTTGGTGGCGGCGGACCCATTTGTGGCCCTGGCACTCTGCCTTCCGCCCCACCACCTTCTTCACCAATGCCATTCACACCGGTTGGCGGCACTCTACGAGGCCGTCGCTTCGGAGTCCTCACCCGGCCGATCCTCCCCGCTGCTGCCGGTTTGGCCTTCGGTTTCGGTGCCATGGTGCTTAACTTTAAATATCTTTGATCCAACAAGCTGCAAGCAACTATATGTGTTGGATAGTACGAACAGGTACTAGAAGTTGATTGTCATGTCCGTTTCAATACCACATGCAATAGGTTCCACTGGACGACACAAGCATTTATGCACATGATCATTAGATTAACACATATTTGAAGACAGAGTGCTATTAATAGATGATGTAGTTTAATGTTCGAAAGCAGTATGCCCAATAATAAGTGTATGCATATAATCCATACATATATCTATATGTATGTATGTATGTTATACATATACCTAGGTCTATGTGTAAACTTACCACACACAGTAACGGTTTAGGGTTTAAAAGAGCTTCAGGGTTTTAGGTTTTAAGGAGGTCCATGGTTTAAAGGTACTTCAAGGCAGAGTGCCACCTAGTTTATGCTTAATCATAAGATGTGTTACTACTCGTAGGGATTTGGTTGGGTTAGCTGGACTGTGCCGATTCAATGGGATTCGATATTGTATAACTAGCTCCCAAGATTCAATAAGCTCCAACAAGACTTTTGGGAGGGGATGCTACATGTGTGCAATTGTCTGGTACAGGGTCGGTGTGCCTTCAAAACGTGATGGCCCGAACACTAAGATTCAATAAGATTTTTTCGGGTAGTCCACAATCCTGCAAATGTCTTCTAAGATTCAATAAGATTTTTTGGGCGAGCTGGAGGCTGTGTCCCTTGTAAAACCGATAAGATTCAATAAGATTCAATAAGATTCAATAAGATTCAATAAGATTCAATAAGATTCAATAAGATTCAATAAGATTTTTTCGGGGTAGGCCACAATTGTACAAATGTCTTCTAAGATTCAATAAGATTCAATAAGATTTTTTGGGGCGATCTGGAGTCGTGTCCCTTTTAAAAATGATGGACCAATAAGATTCAATAAGATTCAATAAGATTCAATAAGATTCAATAAGATTCAATAAGATTTTTCCGGGGCATGCCACAAGTGTCACAAATGTCTTCTAAGATTTTGCAGGGCCTGTGGGGCGGTATGGGGATGGTGTCCCTTCAAAGGCCATATGTTTTTTTAAACACGGATGCACCCCATTGCAGACTTCCGTGGTCCTTTGTTTGGGTCCCTCCCAACTGGTGTTCTAGGACAGGTTGGATCCTGCCTTTGGCGCGGATTTGTCCACAGGCATCTGCAGTATCCTTGTGAAATCGACAGACCGCCTGGGATTACAAAGAGACATACATTCCTGATGGCATAATGCAACACAAGGCAACACAATCATGTCAATACATAATGATCATGGAACACATGTTACAACCCATGGCACTCCGCCTTCAGAAACATGTCTGTGACAATGGCATTGCCACACCTCCAAAATTAATATCAAGGGATTCCGGGAGGGACCCCTCGGACCGTACCCCTATGCTAGTAACCTTTTATCAGACTGATATTAGGCTAATATTAGTATGATATCATATCCACTACTGGGCACCGCAGCTCGCCTTGCTCACACTGGAACTGCAGAGGACAGCAAGCTTGAGTCTTTTTTTCGTGCTGCACGGCTTGTCACTTCTTTTTGGTTTTTGGCTTCTTCTCGTCCTTGGCCTTCTTGTCTTGCTTCTTCTCTTTGGGTGCATCTTCCGTCATCCTGCGCTTCTTGTTCTCGGGCGGTTTGGCGTTAGAAGAGCTGCTGGCTGCAGCTCCTCCAAATGCACCCGCTGCTAGCTCTGCTGTGATCTCCCTCACGGCAGGCCTGAAAGTCGATCGTGCCTTCTCCACGGCGGCTTTGGCCCCAGCTGAAGCCCGGGATCTCGATGCGGCCTTCGGCGTTGCAGTGCCAGTGTGGTGCTTCTTCTGCTTGGCCGCGGCCGGTGCAGATGGCTTGGGACCGGCCTTCTTGTCGGAATCCGTGCTGAGTTCGTCATCACTGTCATCACCGATGCCCATCGGTACCCGATTCGTCTCGTCGGGCTCATCGGCCGATGACAGAGCGGGCGCCTCCTCGTCACCAGCGTCGGCGGCCGCAGCAGCGGCCGGATGTGGCACATCACTGGCGGCAAGCCCTGCTGCCGGCTCAGCCTTCTGACCACTCAAGATCTCCTCAGCTTCCTTGAGAGCGCCAGCGATGTCGTCGTCGCTGGGCTGGGAGGAGCAGTCCTAGGAACATTGAGTTCGGAAGAAGCTTGCAGCTAACTCAAGGTAACAACTCTGGCACACGATTCACACGACACAGCTGTGCAACCCAAACAAAGCTCATCCAAGCGACCCTTTTCAATTTGCGATGATGCGTCCAAAGGAATTGCACAACCAGTCTCAAAGCTTGCAGTTTCGTCCACTTGGTTCCGAAAGTCCGGCTTGTTGAAAAATGCTTCTTGACTTTTGGATTCGCCTTCTGCTCTTCACTCAGCGGTTTCGGGTAGTACGATTGAAAACTCTGCGCGCGGATCTGATACACCAAGACACAGTTCTCCACGGATGGGCGGAGTTTTTTCAGGCACTCAGGTGTACTGCTTTCTGCAGTGGCCCGTGGTTGATTGACTCTGGCCTTGATGAGTTCTTCGGTTTCCTCATTTTCGATTGATGCTGCCAATGCCTTGAACATCTGCTGCTCGTCTGCCTCTCCCGCCTTCACCAGCTCCGCGACTGCTTCTCGAATGCCTGCGACCTGCACGATTTTTCGCGAGTGGGAGGTCTGCAGCAAGCGGCTGCATCGTTCCCATTGCTGCTGCTCGGTCTCCGCAGAGAACCATGCCTTCATCAACGCCATCCTTGATTGACATGGCACCGACAAAATGTAATGGGAAGAAGGACAGCGGCAAACAGTTCCAAACAGAATGCACAAGCCCATGCCAGGGAGCACTCTGCTTTTGATGCCCACCGTCTTCTCAGGGTACCGCGTCGCTTTGGCTTTACTGCTCACGAGGAGAGACACAATGTGAGGGGTTGTTGTTGAATCCAGGCGCCCATGCCCGAGAAAGTACGGGATCAGCTTGCACGGCGCTCCGCACTGCTGGAGCAGACCGCTGCCTCGACCTTATATTTTATGCAGCAACACTAAGACCAATGAGGGTTTGGGTTAGGCTGTTGCGGGGCAGCTTGGGCATCACTCATTCAATTCACATCCAAGCAACTGTACCGGGCAGGAATGCCGTGGAATTCCTCTGTAGCGGCAGCATCCAAAACATCTGGGCCATCCACGCAGAAGGTGCAGGACAAGAGGAACCTGTCTCTGGCCTCCTGCAAGCTAAGGTCTGGTCGCGACACGCGGAACCACCCATCCTTAGGCGGTCTCGTGCTCACCAAGATTCGAAGCCTAAACAGCAAGAACTGGCAGGAAGCAAATTCCCTGTCATCTGCTGGCTAAAAGGAGCAAGCTTCGCTGACGGTTTCAACCCTCCACAGGATGAATGCCTGGCTGCAGAAACCCAAGGATAGGTAGACGCAGTTGTCTACCTTCCTTCTGAAAAGGTGTCCTTCCTGAAGCAGTGCACCAACCCACACGCCGCCCAAACCATGAAAGCTTTTGCCGAACGTGGCTCGCAAGGCCGTGATGGCGCCAACTTCCCGAAACTCCGCCGGCTGCCCGGCGGGTTTCAATTTCAACTGCTGGTCCAGACCTTCCAACTACACAGTTCCAGGGTGCAGGGGTTTTGGGCTGAGATTAGAGCTTGGGATCTACGTCTGGGTTTCAGGTCATGGGGTTTAGACTCAACGTGTCTGGTGTTTGTGGATTGTACAGTGC